TGTGGATTTCGTCAATTTTGAAGTAACAACGCGTCACGCGTCAAACGGGAACAACACGGAAACAGCAGTCTGGTACGCTTTGGACGTGTATCATACTTGCAGGCCGGTTTGAATGTGAGTTTAAATTAGAAGAACATTTATGATGTATGGGTGCCTAAAGCGTGCATTTCTCGCTGTGCACTTGGATATCTGATTGCAGACAAAGAGAGCAATGGAGAAAGAGAGCGCAAAAGCTCGCTCTCACTCTCTTGTCAGTTGTAAATCTCTCAATTACCGATGGTTGCGCCCAGCGTTGCCACGTCATTTCAGAAAAATCTGGACAAGTCAAAATAAAAAAAATTGAAAAAATCTGGAATGCTCCCAAAAACCCTGTTTTTAACATAATGCTATTGAAATCAAAGGGATGGGCCAATCTCCCGTAAAAATCGGTCAGGATGATCATCTGGAATTTATTCAAAGTCTACCAGAATGTTTATGAAATCCATGTTTAAAAAAATATATATAAAGCCAACTTGTTAGCATAGCTAAAATCATCCAAAAGTTAGGAAAAGTTTAAATATCCATTACGCAGCATTTCAAAATTGATTTAAATTTTTGGTAAAATACTACAGAACATATTTTTAGAATTCAGAAGCAGCAGAGAGTCAACCAACTTTGATGGGATGATTTTTTTACTAATAGTCGATTTAGTCCTTACTATTTGATGCAGTACCAGAATATGTCTTAAAGATTTTATTAGTTCTATATAATTCTAATATTACTCTAAGATTGATCAGACTTCCAATTTCATTCTTGACATCAGTCAACTCACAACACTCGGTAGACCAGTAGGCAATTTTATTTCCAGCAAAAAATTCTCCTGGCTGAAGTGAGAATCAAAGCCTAACATCGTGGTACTCACTCACAATATTATTATATAACTAAAATGAAAGTCTAAAAGCGTCATTTTTGAAGTCTCAGGATCTTGAAATGATTCTAAATTCTGGAATTTATATTTTTCCTGGGTCCCAGATCATGCCATTTTTTGTTAGTCTGAATGTACTTAATTTACAGAGTTCAATTTTAATCATCCTAGAATTTAATCATACTTATATTCTGGATTCCCCTAAACTAATCTTGATAATATCCAAACTTTTTCAGTAACATTCAAAGAGTGCTTAGCATTATCTCTTGTTATCTCTTATAAATCGCTCTCTGATTCCACAATTCCCTCAAACTGGTAATAATTTCCAAGAATTTGCATAATTTTGTCTCCATGAAATTCCCTTAGAATATTCCTAATACTTTCCTTGGTACGCTCTTCAGAGTGACCGCCACATTCTTCTCAGACTTATCCTCTTCAGTATACTCTAAGTACTCAAGTACTTTGCCAAAATTGCCTTGAAAGTCTCCCAGAAATTGCCAGATTTCTTAAAACTTGATAAAACCTAATCTCCATAGAAACATTGGACAGAATTCCATTGAAATTATTCTCCCGATTGATATCAGCATTCTCCTTAAGTTTCATCTTATGAATTTCCTATGATTTCTCTTCCAAATTCTAACTATTTCCCTTCTTCACCAAAATCTCCATGCAATTGTCATCAGAGTTTACAAAAGACAATTTATACCGTCTTCACTTCAATCAAAGGTTGTACAGACTGCATACTTACACTTCACTGTAAACTATTTTCAGAATTACCTTAAAATTCTGAAATCTAGGGCAATTCAGAATTCTAAAGTATTTCAGAGTGCTAAGGTAACTCAATATTCAAAGGTACTTTAAAATTATATTTAAACATCTAATTAATTATCCTCAAAAATATCACGAACATACTTCAAAGCCCTGGTGGTTGTCTAGATTCAAAAGCCTTGCTAATTTTCCAAAGCTCAATTTATTGTTTTCTCAATCCTGGATAGTTTTCGGTTTCTCTAAATTCCAAAATTGTGAAAATTCCTCCATATTGAAATATTGATTTTTATAAATCCAGGATTCCAATAATTAACAAATAATTATAGCCAAAATCTTAACAGAAACACACAAAAAAATCCTGGCTCGATATTTTTTAAAATTTGGGGATTTTTCACAAGCAATAATGTTTGGAAAATGTCTCAATTTTCAAGATTCTGCAACCCATTGCAAACATGTTGTAACAATTCCATGTATGATGTTGCAATAATGTCCAACGTTGATGGCCTTTAGTAAGTAAAGTAATAAGTTTGGCTTTTTATTTTTTGATTAGAGGGTCCATTAATTGCATAAACATATTTAAAAAATCTGGATTTAAACGTGATCTGTGTATCTGGCTAGACGACTGAAAATCTGGAAAATCCAGATAAATCTGGAATACTGGCAACACTGGTTCCGCCGGTGCGCCTGTCAAAACTTATGAGCTTCCCCTGGTTCATTCTGATAGTGTTGTTCTGATAAATAAAGAGTTGATTAATTCAAGTTTGCTACCCAGGGGACGACTTCATGAATTTTCTCTAGATTTTGACACTGTTTTGTATCAAAAAATGGTTTCGGAAGTGTTTGGCGGATATTCTTTATTACACTTCAGCCGAAAGAGTTAGCTTTGTGATAAAAACGAGAATTAGTTAAGTTTTACAATTCCTATTACATCGGTGAGCGCGAAAAGGACCACATAAGTTTTGTTTACACAAGATGATAAGCCCTTCAAATGTTACGTTAAGCAGTGATTAATATAGTAATTGAGAATATGTCCTTCGAATTCATGGAGCATTGAAAAAAAAAACAAAAACTAATATGTGGTGGAAAACTATAACGAACAAAGTTTGGTGCACAGGTAAACAAATGAGGCACGGGACGCCTCTGGATTTTAACTTTAAAAAAAATATTCATAGATTTACTACGATTTTTTCAATAATTACATTGAAATTGCACTTCGTAACGGCCATTTTCTAAATGCCTACTTTTTTCCATATGGGACTCATATGCGATTATAGGCAGTGTAGTGATTAACATCCCAGAATCGCCAGACAAGCCAAGTGACTATAATAATAATTAAAAAATCTCCGAATTGCTTTCAAACTATTCTTAAAGTTCGATGAAAATCTTCATCAAATTAATTCTTGAAGTTTCGTTTTTTGTTTTCTTTCAAATCTGGAGGCTTGGAAAATGTTCAATGTCCGACATCTCGAATAATTATCTTAGGTCTAGATTTTTGATCCTAGTTTGGTCCAGGGTTTCAAAAAATTGTACTTAAGGTTAAAACCTGTTAAAAATATCCATCTTCCAGAACCTAAAAAAGAACAACTCAAGCCCCAGAACTTTTAAAATTTATATTGATACTGAAGATAAATTCGTTCCGGCATTACAAAGTTCATTGGGTAAAAGAGAATATGGAGGAAGGTACAGTTAATGGCAGTAAAACATGTTTGAAATTTCTGAAATTATTTTTTGAAAAAAATCAAAACATTCTTTTCTGAAAGATTTAATTGACAAGGGAATAAAAAAAAAACTTAAGTAATGATAAAATTCCCTGAGATTTCCAGTTTTTTTTCAGGGAATGTAAAATTGTAAAAATGTAAATGACCTTCAAGAAAAAGCTCGACGAAAATGGCAACACAGTGCGATAAAGGGTGTCCACGATGAAATTGCCACACACAAAATTGATTCGCAAAATTCGAGTTTTCATCCGATTGCCATCAAATTTTCAGGGATTGAGAAATAACTACTAAACTTCATTTTACCATTTTACTCGTATTTTATTTACAGTCCATACGCAAATGCCCGCACCTTGGCCTTAACCCCGGTCATAAGATTCTGCACAACCTGTGAATCAACCGTTTTTTGCATGTAAACCCATACTTTCTTCAGTTCCTCGACTGTCTTCACTACCTTAGGTCGTTTAAGAAGGTGCTGCTTCATAATCGCCCAGTACTTCTCGATGGGGCGGAGCTCCGGAGTGTTGGGAGGGTTGAACATTTTCGGCACGAAATTGACCTTATTGTCCGCATACCACTTCAGCACGTCCTTGGAGTAGTGGCATGAGGCCAAATCCGGCCAGAAGATTGTTGGGACGTTGTGGGCCTTCAGGAGAGGAAGCAGCCGCTTCTGGAGGCACTCTTTTATGTACACCTGTCCGTTCATCGTGTCCTGGGTCACGAAAGGTGCACTCCGCTTCCCGCACGTGCAGATGGCTTGCCAAACCAGGAATTTCTTCGCAAATTTGGACATCTTCTGAGTGCGGACATGCTCCGGAACGCTGAACTTATCCTTGGCCGTGAAAAACAGGTTGCCGGGGATCTGTTTGAAGTCGGCCTTCACATATGTTTCGTCGTCCATGATGCAGCATTCAACTTTCGTCAGCATGTTGAGGTACAACTTCCTGGCACGGGTTTTGGCGGACTTGTTCTGCTTCTCGTCGCGATTAGGGGCCTTTTGTACCTTGAACGTTCGAAGCCCAGCCTTAGTTTTGGCCTTCTGGACAAAACTTCGGCTTAGGTGCAGCTTCTTAGCCACATCCCTAACGGAGGCGTTCGGATTTCGGTTGAAGGCCCCAACTACGCGGTTGTGATTTTTGGTGTTGTACGGAATACTTTTTCCTTCACTTCTGGGCTTCCGATCGGTGGTCAACCGTTCCTCGAACCGCTTAATCACTCGCGACACCGTGCAATTCGCGATTCCCAACGTTTTAGCGATGGAACGATGCGAGAGATCCTTGTTCTCGTGATGAATGCGCAAGATTTTATCACGCACGAGCTGTTCTTTCGACTTCATTTCCGCGAGTTTTGATCACAGGACTTTAAAACTTGCAGGATGTAAATAATGCACTATGAACTAAATCCACCCAAATTTTCATTAAATTCTACCCAACGGTTAAAAAGTTAGAGCAATTTCATAGTGTGGCAATTTCATCGTGGACACCCTTTACAATGCCAGGTTGGTTGCACAAGGATTCACACAAAAATATGGGACGGATTACGATGAGGTATTCGCTCCCGTTGCTCGGCAAACTACTCTTCGTACCATCTAGACCATTGCCAGTCGGGATGACATGCTGGTGCAGCACATGGATATCAAGACTGCTTATTTGTATGCCGAGCTAGATGCGGACGGCGACAAGGTTTGTCGGTTGAAACGCAGCATCTACGGGCTGAAGCAATCGGCACCGGGCTGGAACCGGAAAAATCGACAGCACGTTCAAGAAGATGTTGTTCTATCCTGCCGAATCGGATCCTTCCGTGGTAACCGCAGTTACATCTTGATCTACGTTGATGCCATGGTTGTGTGCTGCCACTCAAAAGAAGAATTCGAGACAATCAGTTCAAAATTCTCTGGTAGAGCTACGACTGTTTCTTGGGATACGCATCGAGGAGCAAGACGGACACTACGTGTTGAACCAGGCCGGTTACATCGACAAGATTGTGGAGCGGTTTGGGCACGAACACGCGAAGCCGTCCAAGATTCCACTCGACCCAGCTTACGCGTAAAGCAAAAGAAGGAGGAAGAACTGCCTACCAATGAATCGTAGCTTGGTAAGTAGTATGCTGTACGTCGGTGTCAACACGCGGCCAGACATCTGCCTTACGACTTCATTGCTGGGAAGAAAGGTTTCCAAACCAACAAACCGCGACTGGACGGAGGTGAAACCTGCATCCATCCTGCATCAAGATGGTCCAGTCCGATCGCATGGAAAGGAGGTCGAAACACATTGGCACGAAGCATGCGTTTGCCAAAGATCTACACGCAAACCAAAAATCTATTACAATGAATGTTAGTTCCGTTTCCTATCATCCTCTGTTCATGAACATCGCAACGAATGTTAGAAATTGACCATGCAGGCGATGTAATGGTTTTTTGTCTTTGTTATTTCGTGTTCTATCTACGCTTTCGACTATACCAGTAAGCTTGTAGAACGACGCACATTGTAGAACATTGTAGAACGACGCACACACTTGCCTCGAATCTCTCCAGCAGAAAAAGCATACGAAGTCGAGTATGCGAAAAAAATGAGCGCTTCATGTTTGCTTTTAGGCTCTCCATATTCAGAAGCATGTAGAGAGCAGTGGAGAAAGCACAGGTCTGATCGCAACGTTCGTGGTTCGAGTCCAGCCGGCAGTCTGTTTTCAATTTTTTCCGACATAACTAATTTACCTCACTAATACACTCTACATTTTTCGGTCTCCAATTTTCTTGCATTGGACCGCAGCTAGGTATATCGCATCCTCGGTTCATGCGGTCTCCACTAACATCCTCTGATGATGAATCCCACATAATTGTAAGAGAATCTTACATCCCCCAGTTGGGTGTACGTATACAAAGGGATTATCGATTTGCGGTATCTACTAACCGCTCAAATGGAAACCGATTTGATGACTGAGCCATTGGACTGGACATCGGTGAAGCTGGAAAGACATCGAAATGCGATTGGCGTCCAAGGAAATCTGGAAGGCAATCGTTGACTTCGTTGAGGAGGAGTGTTGAGAGCAGATTCGAACTGCATACAACGAAGCAACCTAGGATAAGTATCCATTCAATCATAGCAAGCATTATAATCAGCAGAAATAAATTATCTTCATTCGTTGTTCATTACTCCATCATACCAGTTGGGTTTTTCTCTTATTTGCGCCTTACAACCTTCAACCACTACAAGATTTTCCTATCGACGACACGATCTCCGGGTGCAGATGTCAGTTGCCAGGGTGAAATTGGATCGCTTGGGTCTTTGCTGAATATAGAGTTCATAACTTTTCCCAAGGTTCTCGATGTCTTTATATAAAGAAGGCCACCAAAAATATCATCGTGCCAAACTTACCGCTGGGTAGTGTAGTTTCAGTTTGAAAGCATTAATTTTATTTAGATTTCAAGAACATCCAACCCACCGTGCATCGCCACTATCAGTTGCGACGAAGCATCGCCCCCAGCATAGCATAAATATTTTCGCTCAATCTGACCTCCACCTTCACGGCAGCCACCAAACGTAGATAGGCACCACCATCACCACCACACCACAGGTGGCGTTTGGTCCAATCCAAAACCCGACGCGTATCGCACAAAGATAGCGAGAACTCCGAACGAAAAAAAAAGGGGGCCAATGTGAAAAGTCTGCGCGCGTCAAGCCAACCGTGGAGGAACGCTGCTTTTTTCCCGCTTCTGCATGGCTTGCCTAGAAGAGCACCGTATTTAAAAATAATTTGATTTACACCCAAAAATAATCGACCATGCTGCTGTGTGCAGTGTGCCGTCGCGACACGATTCCGGCCGCGTGGTTCAGATCGCAAACTATTTGCCACACCCAATGCCGAAACCCACACCGGGATCTGATTCAGAAAGCTGCACCAACCGACGACAACAGAGCAATCATCTGTTTCGTGGAGAATCGTGCACCCTCCTACTGGCTGGCCTACACACTGTAGGGCGTCTCACACCAGCCAGTCGGCAGTAGGTAGCTAGGTAGAAGACGACGATGATGATGATGACGACATAGATGCAAAGATACTCACTGGGACTCGAGAGTTTTTCGGTCGGCGGGGTTTCAATGTCACGTGCACACACGGATGGTGCAAGTGCTGGGTGAAGATTTATTACGCTCGCGACGCTCTGACGGAGGCTGTATGTACACACAGCGAGACACGGTTGGCCTTTCGTGGAGGAATGCAGGCCGCCGTCGTTGTCGTGTCGGCCATTAGCCGTTGTTGTGCCAAAATGGGAACAATGTCGCAATAGGCGGATAGACACAGTCTAGATCGGCTGATCGTAATCGGAGTGATCCATTGTGAAAAGTTTTTCCGCTTAGCAGTCTTTTCGATCGCCGCTGGCATATGCTATGACTCTTCCATGTATCGACTAGGTTCGTCCAGAGCTGCCGAAACATGGTTTTGGACGATGGTTAGGAGACCGACGAGACCAACTGCGGAGACCTTATGTCTGCAGTGCAGCTTCCTTGAATAATTGTACAGGTCAGACTCGATTATACGCAGTTGAACGATACCGATAGATTGGGGATTGTCTTCTCTGTCCGATGGTGGTGATACTTACTTTACCAATCAGGCTAAGGCCTTGTTGTCCTCTGCTGTTCGAAGAAGTCGTCTCCACTCTACTCGATCCATGGCCACACATTGCCAGCCTGGTAGTCTGCGAAGGGTCCGAAAGTCTACTTGGTCGATCCACCTTGCCCGATGCGCGCCTCTTCTTCTTGTTCCTGTTGGGTTGCTTTCGAGAAACATTTTCACTGGGTCGTCGTGCGGCATTCTTACGACGTGCTCAACCCACCGTAGTCGCCAAATTTTTGCAATGTGGACGATAGATGGTTCTCCTAGCAGCTGGTGCAATTCGTGGTTCATTCGCCTCCTCCACGTTCCGTAATTCATCTGCACTCCACCGTAGATAGATGGTACGCAACACCTTCCGTTCGAAAACACCAAGGGCCTTGGTCCTCCACGAGCATAGTCTAGGTCTCGTGGCTGTAGAGGACACCACCGGTCTAATCAGCGTCTTCCGGAGTCCAAAGTAGGCACAATTCCCTGCCATAATGAGCCTTTGAATTTCTCTGCCGGCATCGTTTTCAACGGTCACCAGTGAGTCCAAATACACGAACTCATCGACCACCTCGATTTCGTTACCGTCAATCTGAACTCGGGGTGGGAGGCTAACATTGTCTTTCCTAGAACCTCTTCCTCTGATGTATTCCGTCTTCGATGCGTTGATGGCAAATCGAATCCGCCTAGCTTCAGCCTTCAGTCTGATGTACGCTTCCGCCATCGTCTCAAAGTTTCGTGCCATGATGTCGACGTCATCGGCGAAGCCAAGAAGCTGGATGGATTTCCTGAAGATCGTGCCACTCGTGCCTATCCCAGCTCTTCTGATCACACCTTCTAACGCGATGTTGAATAGAAGACACGAACGTCCATCACCTTGCCGTAACCACCTTCGAGATTCACTGGGACTCGAGAGTGTCCCCGATACTCGGACAAGGCACATCACTCGATCCATCGTCGCCTTGACCAATCGCGTTAGTTTGTCCGGAAATCCGTACTCGTGCCTAATGTGCCATAGCTGGACTCGATCGAAAATTTGGTGCGTGGTAGCACGGGCACCCATGGTATTGCCCACGAACTCTCTCTACAGCAATCCAATTTGTCGCCCTCTTTGTAGATTGGGCATACGAAACTTTCCATCCACTCCTCCTCCAAAATCTTGGCAATTACCCAGTGCTTCGCCACCGTATTGTAATAGCTCACTTGGTAGTTGATCTACACCAGTTACTTTGTTGTTCTCGATCTCCTCCTCAACTTCTTGAAGATCAGGGACCGATAGCCTGTCGTCTTCTGCGCGTGCTCCAAGGTCTGTTGCCATGCCACCTTCGTTTTCTGCTGCATCACCGTTGAGGTGCTCGTTATAGTACTGGTTCCACCTCTCAATCACCTCAAACTCGTTCGTGAGAAGGTTACCGAAGTCTTTGCGCGAACTTTTTAGCTTCTCGTAGAACTTCCGTGTGTCGCTTACGCGGTACAGATTTTCCATCGCCTCGCGATCTCGGTCTTCCTGCTGATGCTTCATGCTTGATGCGCTCCACATTCAATCTCGTGCGGTGCTGCAGCGCATTCTCGCCCGTGCTGCATTCTTCTCCTCTACTGACAGTTTACATTTCGCCGTCAAACCAGTCATTTCTTCGATTCGGGATCGCAGTACCTGCAGCAGTACTGTTTTCGAACTATTGGCAATATTTGCAGATGCTGAATGCTTATTCGAGTACCTGATGGGCGACGACTCATTGAATTCAAATCTGCGCCGAACGAAGAAACCGTCTCCATTGATCTCGGTCCTGAGCCTTGGACATTCAAGGACCTAATGTCCTCCTCAACTGCACAAAGCCAACGCGTGCGTGGCCTACCCCGAAGCCAACGTCCTCTTCCGGGTTCCCTGCTGAATATTGACTTCGCTTGACGCTCTTCCGGCATTCGTGCCACATGCCCAGCCCACTGTAGCCTGCCGTGTTTTATAAGCTTCACAATATCCATGCCGTTATATACTTGGTACAACTCGTGATTCATGCGACGCCACCAGATGCCATTTTCCAGTTTACCGCCGGGTATTGTTCGCAGCACTTTACGCTCGAAGACTCCGAAAGCTCTCCGATCGGCCTCTTTCAATGCCCACGATTCGTGGCCCTAAAGGGCTACCGGCAGAATCAACGTCTTGTACAGCGCGAATTTCACGCAAGCTGCGGGACTTCAGCTGGCTACGCAACCCGTAGAAAGCCCTGTTCGCGGCTGCAATACGCCTTTTCACCTCGCGGGTAACATCATTATCGCACGTCACTAAAGTACCAAGATTTTTCGCCATCTAGCACCACTTCACTACCAACACCACTATTGCTCCCACGTTTTCTACCGGCGACCATGTACTTCGTTTTGGTAGAATTTATCGTGAGACCAATCCTCGCTGTCTCCCTCTTAAAGGGCGCGAACGCCTCTTCCACTGCTCTACG